TTGCCGCATTTTCCAGCCATGTGAAAATGCCTTTCTTCCGCCAAGACGCGCCACCACGTTCATGACAATGAACTCAACGAACGTGGCCAATTAGTTATAAGCTGCTTCGTGATATCACAACATCTGGCAACTCACTCTCGCGCACATACACACACACACACACACAAACATAGATAGCTAGACAAGCAGTCAGGCCAATAAGGAAAAACTCGACGCTCGCCAAGAAATTACTCAAGTCCGCAAAGTATGTAGCAAAAAAAAAAAGTTACTGCTGCTGAAGCTGCCTAGTACAACGCAAGCGACAACAGCAACAAAAGCAACAACAGCAACAACAATAACAGCAACTACAGCAACGGACAATGACAATCTGCACGTAGCAATCAGTCAACGTGCGGCAGTTGGTTAAACTTGCCACAGAGCTCTGAGCTAACAAAAGCGACAAGCTCAAAACTTCTCGGTTGCAAATGCAAAACGTGCCAGGGCGGGTTGGGGCGGTGCCCGGTGCCTGGTGCCTGGTGCCCGGGACATATGCAATGTCGCTGGCATGGCAAGTCTTGCCACTATGTAGTAGTATCTACGAGTATGTATGTATGTATGTACATATGTATGTATGCACGTGAGGCGTGCGCTCTGGCTACATTGCCTCCCACACACACACACATACACACACAGACTCATACGAGTATGTACATACGCTCTGCTTGTAGTACTTGTATATATATTTATATATATATTTGCACTTAATTAGCATTTTTTGCCACAGAGAGTCCCCGAGTCCGAGAGTCAACTCGACAGTCGTGTATATAAATAGACAACTCTCTCAACTTAATCAGCATATTTATGCGCGCCCGGACATTATTCATATGGGGAAAAAATTGCCTGACGTTGCAAGTGAAGAGCGTGTAGCAAGTAGAGGCAGAAGCTAAAGCTGATGTTTGAATGGATGGAAATTTTTCTTTAACACTTCATAGATACTAGCGGCTCATGATCGTAGAATCCAAAAGAATTTATGTTCCTTTTAAAGTAGTCATAGGTATAAAAAAGAAAAGTTTCCTGCAGTACTTAAAAGGTAGTACTCTTCAAATAGAACATGTAAGCTGAGCACTATTTACATACTACTCGGATCGTGCGTCTGTGTTTTGTTGTTGACCGTAGAGTAAAACAATTATATGTGTAAGATCAATTCCAAGGAATTTATTCAGTAATTATTGTATTTATTCAGTTGACCAATTGGCCAATCTTAATCTTCAGTACACTGAAGAGATATGCATTCAACGACATTAGATATTTTACTCCATGATCAGAAAGTGCCCATCTATCCTGTTCCCAGAAATCTCTTAAATAAAACCATTTTTTCTCATTTCGCAATATCGTCAGGTTCAACAAAAACTTACTCAAATATTATATAATGGTGTGCATTAAACAGCGACAGCTTCTGATCCTGCTGATAAATGTGTGCGTAAAATATGTAGTCTACTAATATTTCTTCTTGTTATAAACTTACACACAAAAAACAACGCAGAGTTTAAAATTTTATCGATTTACATACCATTACTACATAAGCTCTAATACATTTATTTGTGTATTATTTGTGTATTATTTGTGTATTATTAATGATATACCTTTGGGAAGAACTTAAACGAGGGATTTGAAGGTGGCTTGCCAGTGGAAAATATTCGAAAAGTTTGCTATAACGTTCCTGTAACGAATTGAAAGAATAATGGCGGATATTCAGGGTATTAAATGAGTTCTTATTAGTTCAGTAACATACCATAAATAACACAATTTAAATATTTTTTAAAAATTTTGTTGGGCACACCTATTATTCTGTATAGTCGAAAACATTTGTATTTTATGAATTAACCAAACGCTCAGGTTTTTTTTAATAGTTGGTAAAGCCTTTTATTATTTGTTTTCAAGCTGAGGTATGTTTATGTTGAAAACTAACTTATTTTTTGAGAAAAATTTAAACAAATATTGAATACAATCTTTTTTGAAAAAAAAAAAAAAAATGCCCACACCTATTCCTCTGTCCAGGTGTGTATAAACATCCAGTCTATTGGTTCAATATCTCAGAGTAACGCGGAGCTACTAAAAAGCCACTAAATGTTTAGACTTAGAGATAGGTGTGATTAGGACAACTAATTCGCCTTATCTAGTGAAAAATTCTTCTTCATTATGCTTCTTAAACTTAAAGCTTCGACTTAGGGTAAGAGCCCATTCTGTAGTGACATTACAAGTATTTATTTATTGTATGAGTATAGTACCGACTAGACTAAATACTGTTATTTATGGAAACATCTATCACCAGATATTTTGTGGTTAAATAGGGTTAAGGTAATTTCAACTTTGATTAGACATTCACTGCTATGCCTAAGCGGCTTGGCGTTAATAGAAAATTTATAAATACATACTACTATACTCGTACAATGCATCAGCACATGAGATACGAGCATGAGTACTCCAAACAGTGATAGTGGAGTGGCACGGGCTTGCGGTCGGGCAGAGGGAAGGGAGTGCGGGGGCTGAATCTGGAATTAAGCCAAATTTGCCGCTTCAGCTGCAACGGCGACGCGGCGGCGACGACTCGAGTCGACTCGGCAGCAAACTAGTTTGCAAATGCAATGCTCTTAGCCTATTTGTGTGCGCATGCGTGTGTACATTTGTATGTATGTATGTATGTATGTATATATGTACATACATATGTAGTCAATATGTTATGTATGTACTCATAGCAGTATGTATATGTGTATACAAGTATATGCATTTTCATTTTCTGACACATAATTCCACATTCGCCGTTCGTTGTTGTGCGCACGAGCGCTAGCTGGAAAAACATGCGAGCTTAATTGCAGTATTTGTTCTAAGTTAATTAGAAAACTCAGACACACACAAGAGACTTACTAAGAGAGAGCATGTTGTGATGTGTGCGTTTGTGTGTTTGTGTGTGTGTGTGTGTGTGTGTGTGTGTGTGTGTATGTCTATATAACTGCTGCATTTAACACTGTCAAAAGTTCAGCAGCCACTGCCAGCCTCCCAGCTATGAGTTGAGAGCTCGCCGGCCTTTTGTGGCAATGTTTGTTGCGCATGTGCAGCACTCGGCTACGTTTTTGTTGCCGCTTTACTTGTGCTTGTAGTTGTAGCTGGAGTTATTTCTTTTCAGTTTTCATGTCATTAACACAGTTTGCCGGCTCTGCTTTTAGCCCAAGAGCTGCTGAAAATATAATAACAATAATTTATAAGCAAGCGTTTGAAAAATTGAGCAGCTGCACAGTGGAACCACACCTACATTCATATGAGGAAAAGACATACATATGTCATTCGCTAATGTGTTACCATTTTAAAAGCCGAATTTCAAGTGTTTTGACGGGAGAGTGCAGTTTTGTCTGCCCGCCCGACATACATGCATATCTGTTGGTCAATTCAACTCAATATCAAGCATAAAACTGTAAGCTTTGAACGTAAAATTAATTTGGCTTCTTTTCCGTAGTCTTTCTTGAATTTATGACCACTGTGCGATGGTATTCTCTAATCGTTTGTAAGACTTTGCATGCTACGCAGTAGGCATAGGTCACGCCTAATGGTAAGTCTAATTAAAGAATTTCAGGAATTAAAGTCCCACCACACACACTCGATCACATCTGTGTGTTAGAAGAAAAGATGTAGGCAACCAACTTGCTGGCTAATAAGCAGGCCAAGAGTTTACAGCTAAATCCAACAGCCAGTGCAAATTGAAAACCCACATTTGACCAAGTGTTGTTTTTGGCAAATATCTGGAAGCCCTTGCTACACAGCAGACGGAACTATTTTGGGTATTGGAGTAAAGCTATTTGGCCATTGAAACGGTTAAACTCTGGTCTCAATAGGCAAATGGAAGACTTTCTCTATTCAGTCGCTTGAGGGTGTCTTTTGGCCCATTGACATGAAATGCGGCGGAGCTGGGTTTTAAAATCATTAAACGCATAAATTGGCTGCCAACTAGTTGGGCAAGTGTGAATTATGGCAGAAGATTACGTTTTTGGGTTTTGGGTTGCGTTTTAATTGCAGACATCGCCAATTTAGCTGACTAATTGGCCTCGGCTGTGCCTGTTTCCCTTTACAGAAATTGTGACACGTTTTTATGTTCATTTTGTATTTGTTTAGTTTTTTATTGTTTACTTGTTTACTTTTTGCCTGCCTACACCCATATACCTTACAGTTAATTCGCAGAAGATTCACTAAATAAATATTTTTATTTTTTCATCATTTTATTTGAATTTTTTGTCATCTCGACATGAACAACCATCAACTATCAACCATCATCAAACATTGATCACCAACCACATTGCGTCACAAAACATAATACAATAACGAAAACAACCTTTTCATTATTGCAACGACTATGAAAAACAAAAACAACAACTACTCGTACTTCACACAATGCCGTCGTCTCATATATCCAAACATTATTGTCATGCATACGAAATTCTGGCCACGCACACATACACTACATACATTATTACATAACCACTTCATGCACGATGTTGTTTTGGTTCATCGATCATTTTGATATTTTCAAATCTCTCGTTTGGTTTTGTTTCCGGTATTTATTTTTATATTTTTCCTTTAATTTTCGTGCTTGGGCTTGTCGCCGTTGAGATTCAATTGAATTTACATTTATTGTTAATAATAAACGTTATAAAATTACATTTGTATGTATGACGGCCAATATTATAATTGTACATGTATATATTTCGACTTTGTCCATGTCTGTACCGATCTGTGTTTCTATTTGTGTGTGTGTATCGGTTTTGGTTTGGCTAAATGATGCGTGTATATAAAATGCGGCACCTTTTGGATTTGCGGCGCATGACTTCGACTTGTGGGAATTGGAAAACGCTTTTACACACACATAAATATAAATATGAATGCACGCACACCTACACATCACCATGCACCATGCACCATGCACCACCTACCGCCGTACTTTGCACAACCACCCGACGACATTGGGGCCGCAGATCGCGTCGCTCTGGTCACCGCCGCACCGCCCAGCTATACACGTATGTATCACTATTTTCCAGCACACTTGAGCGCGCACCCGTTTTGCTATTATCCACCCCCACCACCACCGCCGGCACAACTTGCACCACCACCAGCGCCACCGCCGCTGACCGCCCAGCTGGCCACACCACTAACGCTCAAGCAATTGGGCAATTCGCTAACGTCCATGACACAGGCGGCGCAGCTGGCCAAAACACTGCGCTACGCGCCAGGTAAGAGAGCACGGTCAGGGACCACCAACCACCCACTAACAAGCAGCACTGGAAGATCCCCTAAATAACCAGTCAATTAACATTTGCTCGTATTTTGTTTTCTCCTCCCTGCTCTCCAGGCATGTTCATTCGACCCGACGAAACGAATCTTTATACGACGCTGGAGCCCACGTTGAGCAGCAACCCGAATGTCTATTTTCAGCGCAGTGGAGCCGTGCATCCGGGCATCCTGTATTGAGCAGCATCCCGCATTCAGGTCCCTAGAACTGGCCCCGAGAACTGAGTATTTTTTCAATCTTAGTGTAAGGCCGCAGCTCACAGCGGCGCTTCTACGGCTCCCAAGGAGCAGCAATAAGTGAACGGAATTTAGTGTAATATTTGTCATAGTGCTAAGCTTATATAATTTAAGTAACCTATTAGTACTTAATACATATGAATATGCATAAAATGCCCACACAATCGCCAGACTTCAAATACATTCAAATTTTGTAATTGGGGTGTTCACACTAGCCAGCTATCTGTATAATGTACCATATATACTGTGTAGTTGTAGAAGACAAAACATATCTAGCATTTTGACAAACCAAAATTACCAATTGTTTCCTAAATAAAATAATAAGCACTGCGTGAATACCCCAAATAAAATATATTTACAACTTAGATTCTTTGACATTCAAAACGAATACAATCCAAGAAACAATGTATTTGGAATAGTTAATGAAGCGATTATGTTTTCGGCAACGTTCTGGCTCTTTTGATATGTGGGATACTCCCACGTACATGTGTTTCATAGGGGCTAAGAGGTCGATTAAGACGTTTATTATTTAAGGGCACCTAACTATGCACTTCATTAAAGATCAAACATTTTCATATTGAATTGTTTAGGATGTTAAACATTTTCATAAAGCATAGGGCTATACTTTACTAATAAGTATTGAAAAAGTTCTAGTTGAAAAAAAGAGAAAAGAAAAAATATATGTATATACATAATATATACAAAATCCTTCAAAAATTGATTTAAAAATATTAAAAAAAAGGCTTTTTGAAATGCTTAACAATTTAAACAATGCATTAGCGACCTTATTATCACTAAACAAAGCACGATATATTTGGCCGCCTTATTGTAAGCAATATCGATTCACAGATCAAGTCTTTGTCTAGCCAAGTAATTTAACATTAAGCAATCATAAACTTTGTACATACTTCTGAACATAATGATTAACAAGAGACGAAAAACGCAAACACACAATAAAAACGATAAACAATACGAACTGCCACTGCTGCACTCAATTACAACAGTCGATTACAATTACAATTAAGTTTAATAGCAAATTATTGGCATTGCAGCGACTATTAACGCCTTCAAACTGTTTGCCAGTCTAAGACTATGGTGTGGATGCTGCGAATGCCGAACACAGGCGAGAAATGCGGCACTGCATGCTTGAGATAACTGCTTAACGCTTGGGCCAATTGGAGGCCCATTGGAGGCCCATTGGGCTGGGGCGCCGAGGATGATGGGCCATTAATATATGTAAGCGTTGGCTACTAGTCGCCCCAAACCTCGGAACAAACATCGACAATCGGCTGGCTCTCAGTTCATTTCATTATGGCCAATGGCCAACTAAGAGCAGGAACATGCATGACCTTATAAGGCATAAAGTAGACGCGTCTCTGGGACGACGACCGAGGGCGTAGACAGTAAAACAGGCTGCCACATTGTGGCTTACATTAATTAAGTGCAACAATGCGAGAAACTACGATGCATCCACACAGACACGCACTAAAGCATCCTCTCATACATACATACTTACGTGGACGCACAACCACATCGCAACCACGTGCATGTCCACGTCCAAGTCCAAGTCCAGGTCCAGGTCCACATTCACATCGTTCGCTCATATTAATGACATTTCTCACGAACGTTTTGCAAGAGCTACTGACAGCGACACTAACAACAACAACAACAACAACAACAAGAAGAAGAAGAACAAGCAGCACGCATAACTGGCAGTCAAGGATGCGCCTCACTGTCCAGTCTAGTTTGGCATCCAGTTGGGCTGGCCCAAGGTACTCGCTCGCCTCGCTTCAATTAGGGTCGCCTTCAAATCACAAGTCAATCAAAGTTGTTAGATTTGTTGTACGTGTCTCTGCCTCACCTTCTCTCTCTCTCCCTCTCTCTCCCTCTCTCTGTTTAGCTTTCTACCTGGTCTCTGTGTCGCTGTTGACTTTTTGTTCTTGTTATCCTTTTGGCTTGGCCGCCTCTGATGCCGCCATTTGACATATGGACATGGCAGCGGCGGCATCAATTACTACGTCTATGACAGCACAGCGTGAAATGTTTGTACATGTCTCTCTATCGTTTTCTTAGCTTTTTTCCTCCATGCCGCCTCTTGTGGAAGCCTCTTTTTGCCGGCGCTTCCAAGGGACCAATTAGCCATAAGTAGGCATTTCAATGGACCGTGCCGCCAATGTAGAAGACTCGATCGGCTTGGCCGGCAATTAGCCAAAATCAAAAGCAACAATTTCATTTTATGTGCCCATCAAACCATCACCCATCAGCAGCTTTAGCGTCTGCGCATCGGTTTCTACTTAGATCAGTGCTTTGTCCATGCCCATGCCCGTGTCCAAGACCATGCCCTTTGCTGGGCGTAGCTGCTGTAAGCTCCAATTTCATTTTTGACAGGGTTATGTGGAGCATTTCCAGCAGACTCCCAGAGGCGTGCATTTTCACGTGCAAATGGCGTTTGAAACGCTTTATGGCATAATGCGGCATTACAGGCAGTGCCCGCGGGTTTCAGCGAATGGTGGTAAGTCAAGTAAACAACAACAATCTACTGCACCAACCGAATATAGAGTCTGTCTTAGATCCCCTCCGCTGCTTACTTCTTTTTTGGCAAAGAGCGGGACAGCCATTGTGCGAGGTTATATCATAAAGTTTTTTCAACTCCTCTACTTCAAAATAATATTTTTATATGCAGTGGTTTTCAGGATACTCAAAAGCATCATATTTATGGCTTCACCCGAATGTTGAAATGGTAAACTAATGCAATATATATACGTACATAGTCCAATTAAATCGTCCATATGAATATTAACAGAAGAAGGAACGCTAGAGTCGAGCAGGCTTAACTCTTAAATACCCACAAAAGAAAACACAAAAAATAGAAAAACAATTTTTTAAATGAATTTTAAAAAATGTAATAAACTAATTAAATTAAATAAAAAATATTCAATACTTACATATGTACATAAGTGAAGACATATGTTTATGTACAGTTTCAACAGCATACATTTACAACAAAATCGTGTCTATGCGTGTTTACGTGCAATGAAGAATTAAGTCAAAGCAGAAGCAACAACAAAACAGCTGCGAGTAGAGCATGGGCAGAGATTACATGATGGCTATAACTTCCTTTCAAATTGACCTATCCTGATAAAATTTAGCACACGGACACATAATCACTAACCGAATGTAATTACCAAATTCAAAATTCCAAGAATTATGTAAAAAAAAAATTGAGTTGATGAAAACTTGTGACTAGAAACAACTAGAGAATCTAGGAGAATCTGGATACCAACTTTGGTTGTTCCAGCTTTTATAATTTCTGAGATCCTTGCGTTCATCCAGACGGACGGACAGACGGACGGACGGACATGTCTAGATCGATTTCTCTCGTCATGCTCATTCAGAATATACTTTAATATATATACAAGTACATACATAGGTTATATACTTGTATGTTCCATATAGACTCCGGAACCGCTCAACCGATGTTGATCAAATTTTGTAACAATATTGAAAATAGTCCAATGGGTTATCCTGTGAAGTTTCGTTGCGATTCACCAACGCAATAAACCATCGTTTTCTTGCTTATTTCTGCTCATTGTTATATGTTTGACAGTCACTTTTTACACTGTTTCTCAGTGTTTCATTCGTAAATAAATAAAATTGTAAAATAGAATCGAATCTGACAATACAAGTACAAATCCAAAACTGTTCATCCATCCGTCTGTGAATTTAAATCAGTACTCCTCCCACAATTTTGGAGTTATTTAAGAAGAAATTATGTTATTATGAAATTATTATGAGGTATCTTCTTTCCATACCTGGTGGGACAAAGTTCTAACGAAAATTAGAGGGTACGGACACATAAGGATACATAGTTGTCAGTCCATTATAACTGATGTTGACGTAGACGAAGATAACTGTCTATCTGTCTGCCTCTTCTTCAACGTGTAACATTACTCTTAGAAGAAGTTTGTTTTTTACAATAGATATGTATGTATATTAACTAAACTTTGTATTTACTTTTTCTAATGCCTCACTATGTCTCACTTATCGAATTGCTCTTATATGAAGGAACTGTGCAAAAAGCGCTGTTTTATTTATTACGACATCATTACACAATTTAATATAAATATAATATCAAGTAAAATGTATTTTAAATGTATTTCCAGTAAAATTCGATTTTATTTCAATGTTGATGCAAAGGGTTGGGAAAAAATATCTGAAGAGGAGCGTTCCGGATAATTGTTCGAAAAATTTGTTTGTTATTCCCTTCTGGCAGACTTCAAATTGAAGAATTCGAATTTGAATCCGGTTGCACCAATTCGAGGATGGTGAGGCCCTTCAAATGTGATCTAAAGTTCTGAATAAATACAAATGTATTTTTGTTCTTATCACGAACAAGTGCTCTTCTGTCCTATCTCCACGATATTATAGGAATTTTCGAAACTTTGTGGTCAAGCCTCGTAGGTCGTGGTTTTATAGTTATGATCGCTGTTGTTGGTGTTGTTGGTTTTGATATTATGGCCATGTTGCTAAATTAAATTACAGCCAGGGCTCACCAGCTGCTGCCATCCAACATTAACCGTAACATTATCCTTGAATGAATGGCAACGCGCAACGGGCGACTGGGCCTATTACTATTATTGTGGTGCAAATTTTATGGCCACCTTATATTGTTGCATATAAAAGCAACAACAGCAAGAACAACAACAACAACAAGAGAAACGCAGAACTGTTATACATGTTGGCCCTTCGGGCCGCGTCACGTTTTGTTTGGCCGAAAAGTTGCGCGCTTTGATTTGATGGCTTGCAAAGATGACGATGGCTGCGGTGGCTGCGATGGCTGCGATGGTTACGATGTGAAGGCGATGGCGACGGCGATAAGCTGAGCTTGAAATGCGTGCATTGACCGCAGCAGACACGGCCGCCGGGGCACTCACGTAAGTTGA